TGGGAGAACTTGCACAATTGGTGGCTGACTAAATACTTTTTTGCCCCACTGTATTTGGTTACTATGATCTTACATACTTCAAGAAAATGGATTACTGTGATTACATCTGCCTCTCTCCCTTCCTTCGAGTGCATTTGGTCTTTTTCTCTTTAATTTCACAACAACTTTCTGAAATAGCTAGTCTGAAAGATAGTGACTTACCCAAAGCCACTTAGTAAGCTGCTTGCCCAGACAGAAAAGTTTGGCAGGATTTCCTGCTGACTATACCAAGAGAGAAGGAACCTGTGGCTCTTCAAATATTGCTGACTGACATCTCCTAGTGCCCCTCCACACTACAACACATGGCGATCAATTTGTTATGTGGGCTACAGATACTGGAAATTATAGTTTAGCAACACCTGGAAACAACAGAATCCCTTCATCATGAGTTGATGAGAGAGAATTTACAGGGGTGCCCCCCACCCCCAAAAGTGCTAATCATGTGTGACTGCAAGCTATGGCCTATTCAACTAATTTGAATTGTGTATGTACTATAGTGTGATTCCAGGAGTGGTAATCCCAACACATCAAGAGGACACCAGTCAGTGACCTCAGACCTGAGATTTGTGCTCCACCCATCTGGTGCATATTGAATGGGTGGCATTATGTATGTATGCTTGACATTATGTTCATGGACATTACTATATAATGGTGGTGGGCAGTTCTTCAGAGGAGGGTCCTGGAAGACTGCTTTGAGAGTATTGTAAGCAGGAAAAGCACATACTAATACTTGCTCTCCAACTCACCAGCAAATGTGCTAAAGAGGGTGGACAGGCTTTTCTCTCACCTCCCAACTACTCCAACTATTCCAGTTTCTCCACTACTTTTAACAGAGACAAGCAACATTCTTTCTCAGGAATGTAGTGTGTGCGTGTGTGTGTGCGCACATAGGTGCACTTCTATATGCAGTGCTAAGATTCACCCAGGGATTCTAAAGTTGGGAGGGCTTATAGGCATTTCAGGTAACTGGGATCCCAGTCTTCATCAGGACACAGGTTGAAAGCTGTAGCTTCTGAAATCCAAGGATTTCATGAAGCACATGAAGACTATTCTTGGCATTTGTTTGTAAGTACAGCACATACCACAGCACTCCCCCCGCCCCAACCCCCAATCTTACAGGTTGCTCTTTAAGGTATCTCCACTAACTTACCTTCTATGAGGTCCAAGTAAACTAAGAAAGCAGCATACACTCTTCTGCTGTCAGCCACTTCCAATGACATCATCTTTGTGAACTGAAACGGACAACAGGGAGCAATAAATGTAAAAGCTATTAATAGAGTCTACAGAAATTATACTCTATGCAACAAATCCCAAACAGAATTATATCCACAATCTCTGAAAGTATTTTCCCATCAACTGCAGGGTTTTTTTTGGCAGAACTCCAAGAAAAGCACAACACAGGCACACACACACACACACATTCTTTCAAGAAATGGGGGAGGGGGAAAGGCCAGTGAAAATATTTAATGCTAATGAAGTCTGTTAAAAGACTTGCAGATTGTATTTTAAATGCCAATAAAACTATCCTCCAAAATTTGTAGCCGCAGGGAATAATTTAGCAACACTGATGGTTCATAAAACAGGTCTAGTTCTGTCTTAAGCTTCTGGGCTGGAACTGATTTATTTCTGTGTTTTGCTTAGCACCTGGCACAAGAAGAGGTTATAGACAACTGTGCCAGAATCCAGACATGGGAGGATTTGGCCTAAGGCGGGTGTGTGTCTCTTGTTAACTGGGGATGTGAGCTGTTGCCACTGCTGGAACCTAAGCAACATCTGGAGCTCAAAACCAGGCAAAGACATAAAGCCAGCGTATTATTGTTATTATAGGTCAAAATACTTCTACTGTTACTACTACTATACTACTAATACCATCATACTCTTCTTATTGCTTATGCCAATAGGGAATAGAGGAATGAGCATTTTATTACTGTTGCTGTTATGACGATGACATCCAGATTTCCCGCCAGCTGCCCATCAGAGAGACTAAGATTGTAAAAGTTCAAAGTAAATTGCCAGATTCAGACCCAGCCTATTCTGATGGTATGTGAACATATAGCAACAACATTGCTAAGGTGCTATGGCGAATTTCACCCACATCTGGCACAGCATAATGTTTCAGCCAATTTTTAGAGCAAAATATCTTCTGTATCTTAAGAATTTAAAGTCCCAAAGCGACTGAATTGTAAAGCTCACATTTTATAGGCTTGAACAGACTAATGCATTCCTAGCCCTCAGATTATTTGTTATACAAGCAGCAAAATAAGTGCTCTTTCAACAGTGCAAAGTCCTAAGAAGGGGTTAGTATGGTGAAACTCACAACAGATCATGGAAATTCTGTATTCTGTCAAAAATCTGCCTCTTAATCTAAATTCAGAAAGAGAAGTATTGTCAAGAGTTCTGAACTTGCAAATACCAAACCTGAAAAAAATCACCTTTTAAAAACAATTTTTTAAATGTATGATTTTATTTAAGAAATTTTTATCAAAGTAAAAACTGTAAAATAAAATAAAAATAAAGAAAAATAGTAAATAGTGAAAAAAAGAAAATAGAAAAAGAAACAGAAAAGGAAAAGGAAAAGGAAAAGAAAGATTATAAAGAAGTAGCTTCCAATCTTCTTGACAGCTTTTATAAATACATTTCTATTTTGCCCTCTCTCTCTAAAGTTACATCATAATTTCCTTCTTTTCATAAGCTACCCTTTCTAATCTTCAAACCCATG